CATTATTTTAAAAATAACGAATAAATTGGAAGTATATAAATATATATGCCAGTGTATGTATATGTATCCACAATACAATCAAAGGAACTGAAATTAAACAAAATAAAATAAATTAGAATTTAAATGCAGACCCCACATACAGATACCCACACCATATTGTTTCATTCTATATAGAAAAGGTTACAATTTTGAGAAATATTAGAACATTAGCGCTGCTTTTCGAATCCGCAATTAATATGCGTATAACAGGCGGATCTGCGACATTTTGAGCGCACAATTTCGGTCCATCTAACCTTTCGTATACAGCCATAAAGAATGACTTTTATTGATTTTTTTCCCACTTAAGCAGTCCATGATGGCTAACAATGGTCCTCGCATTAGTGTGATTGGCATAGGTAAATTAGGCAGTCCGATGGTGGCTGTATTTGCTTCGAAAGGTTATCATGTCATTGGTTTGGACATCAACAAAGATTTTGTTGAATTGCTACAAAAAGGAATAGCTCCCGTGTATGAGCCTCGATTACAAGAATTGATCACACAATATAAGAAAAATATCGAAGCAACAACGGATTATTACAAGGCTATATCTCTCACAGATATAACCATGGTTATTGTCCCCACACCGTCCGATAGTGATACTGAATTTTTTAGCAATGATTATGTACTCAATACAATGAAAGCAATTGGCCAAGTAATTAAATCGTGTAATAAATACCATCAGGTAGTTGTAACATCAACAGTAATGCCGGGATCTACTGGGGGAATAATACGGGATGTGCTAGAAGCTTCGTCCGGCAGAAAAATTGGCTGTTTGGATAGTGAAATCGGTTTGGCCTACAGTCCAGAGTTTATTGCTCTCGGACAAGTTATACACGATATGTTAAATCCAGATTTTGTATTAATCGGTGAAAGTGACAAACGAATTGGCGACGCTTTACAACATTTATATTCGAAAAGATCTGATAAACAGCTAGTTTTATTTCGACGAATGAATTTTGTTAACGCAGAGTTGACAAAAATAGCTATAAACACCTATGTGACAACAAAAATAACCTATGCAAATATGCTAAGTGAGCTGTGTGAAAATATACCTGACGCGGACGCTGACACTGTGAATGTGGCCATCGGTTCTGATTCTCGAATTGGAAATAAATATTTGAAAGGTGCATTAGCCTATGGAGGACCGTGTTTTCCAAGAGACAATCGTGCATTTGCTGCGTTAGCAAAATCTTTGTCTTGCAACGCATTGTTAGCGGAAGCTACTGATCAATTAAATAACTACCAAGCCGAAAGATTAGTGAACATCTGTAAAAAAATAGCAGTAATTTGCACCGTTGACAAAATCCAACCATCAAAAACAAAAGTTGGCTTATTAGGTTTGTCGTATGAACCTTCTAGTCCAGTGACAGAGTGCTCACCTGCTTGTAACTTAGCCAATAAACTCGTTTTGGATTTTGATGTTACCGCTTTTGATCCACTAGCTATGTCGGCAGCTGCTCGAATTTGTGATAAGCGCGTTACATTTGCAAACTCAGTTGACGAACTTGTTTGTGGAGATTTGGATATTCTATTGATTACAACAGCAGCGAGTTGCTGGAAAAACATTTATTTTAATCAGACGAGAAAAAAGCTTTTATATATAATTGACTGTTGGAAACTGTTGAACAAAGAAGAGATCGAACAAAACAATCGTTATGTTCGAATTGTCTTATTAGGAAACGGCAATTCAATAAAAGGACTAAATGATGTAGGAGCATCAGTTAGAAAGTTGACTGTCAGGAACAATGAGTTTCAAAATGGCCATGCTCAACGTCGCGTATTAGTTGCTGGTGGAGCGGGTTTCATTGGGAGCCATTTAGCTCGNAGGCGAAAACAAGGGCAGAGTTGAGGTTTGGGGAGATGGGAAACAGACGCGCTCGTTTTGCTATATCGATGACTGTGTTCAAGGAATATTAAGACTGATGCAATCAAATTACCCACAACCATTGAACTACTTCAAACTTTAGTCGAGAATAATTTCATCAAAACGGTTAAGCGACAAGTGCAGTTTTACCTCGCTACTCTGTGATACCTTTCCGTTAGAGTTCAGAAAATCATATTAGACTGCAATGCAAACTTTTAGTAATTGTTATGTTCCAAATATAAACTTGAATAGTTTTCTATCACCTTATTTGTCATGAACTAATAATCCAAATAATTACATACAACACTCTCAAAAACACAGCTATTTATACATAAAATTTACATATAGTTGAACATATGAGAACCATATGGAAAAGAAGCGTAATGATGTCAAGTACAGGACATAAAATGACGTCAGAAGAATAAAAAGAACATGGCGCATACTGCTGACCGAAACATGACGTCAGCAGAACGAACAGGAAAGAAAAGAATAGTCACATTTCTAAATATATGATCTGTTGACGTTGTCCTCATGACATAATAGTCAAGTTATTCTTCATGTGTAAAATTGCTGTAGAACAGAACTGTCACTCCTGATAAGACCTTTCTTTCTCAGATTATTACGTACCTCAATACCCAACGAAGCAGTTGCGTCTCATAGCCTATAACTTGTACTTAATCGATCCTAAACAGGTTGCTGTTGTTGTAGCATTATTCGTGAGCCTCTGCTCTCTTTCAAAGAGCACTACAAACATATTTCTTGTCCCACGATTATTCGTTTGATGTAAAGTAACCATTTTATGCAAACGAAGCTTTTTCGGATGTTATTTTGTTGTTACAGTATATGTAATATTTTTAACAGCAATTTTCTTTTTTTAAACAAACCTATTGTTCCAGTCAACAAGCTTTTATTACTATCCTACGTTTCCTCCATATCTCTTTTACGAACGGCATTTTTACAAAGCAGACGTAAATAAATACAATCTTTTCTGAATTGTTAAAATTTCAGCAACTCAACGGTCCGCTTGATCATCTTGATCATGAAAGGGGAAAAAGGAGACAAAATACTGAAAACGTTGATCATGTGATAAACCGATGACACCTATATAATTGACTGTTGGAAACTGTTGAACAAAGAAGAGATCGAACAAAACAATCGTTATGTTCGAATTGTCTTATTAGGAAACGGCAATTCAATAAAAGGACTAAATGATGTAGGAGCATCAGTTAGAAAGTTGACTGTCAGGAACAATGAGTTTCAAAATGGCCATGCTCAACGTCGCGTATTAGTTGCTGGTGGAGCGGGTTTCATTGGGAGCCATTTAGCTCGTCGATTAAAACAAGATGGTAATTATGTTATCTGTGCTGATTGGAAACGAAATGAATATTTGCAAGAAGAGACATTTTGTGATGAGTTTTTACATATGGATCTTCGTGTACTAGACAATTGCCTATTAGCAACCAAGTCTTGCGATTGGGTGTTTAATTTGGCAGCTGACATGGGAGGAATGGGCTTCATACAATCCAATCATTCAGTAATCCTGTGTAATAATATGATGATTTCATTTAATACAATGGAGGCTGCCAGACGAAATGGTGCGAAAAGGTTCTTTTTTGCTTCTTCTGCATGTGTCTATCCAGAGCACATACAAACAGAAGAAAATGTTGTAGGACTGAAAGAAGATGATGCGTGGCCAGCAAAACCACAGGATGCCTACGGTTTGGAAAAATTAGTTTCAGAAGAAATTGCCTTGCATTACGCCAATGATTTTAAAACCATAGAAACAAGAATCGGCCGATTCCATAATATCTATGGTCCCCATGGCACATGGAAGGGCGGACGAGAAAAAGCTCCAGCCGCATTTTGTCGTAAAGTGCTCGTTGCATTTGAAGGCGAAAACAAGGGCAGAGTTGAGGTTTGGGGAGATGGGAAACAGACGCGCTCGTTTTGCTATATCGATGACTGTGTTCAAGGAATATTAAGACTGATGCAATCAAATTACCCACAACCATTGAACATTGGATCCGATGAAATAGTTTCTATTAATGACATGATTGGTTATATAGCTGAAATTGACCAAGTCTCTGTGCAACTCAATCATATTCCAGGACCCATGGGTGTGAGGGGAAGAAATTCCGACAATCGTTTGATAAAGAAAGTGTTGGGATGGGCGCCAACGACAACGTTAAAAGAAGGGCTGAAAGCTACCTACAAGTTTATAAAACATGAACTAGAAATAGAAAAATCAAATGCAATTGATATTAGTGCCTATGCAGTATCGTCGATCGTGATACAAACGATCCATACATTATAAAAAATCATTGACGCCTGACAGTCAAAAGAAGTTCGCTTTTCATAAGAAGCAACCGAAAGCATTTAAGGCAATTGGTTTATTACATTTTTGACTATGCGGATACATGTCGCAAGCAGATGTATAACCTGGCCACCATTCTAACAACCGCGAAAATGCTTGGCGATCGGTATTCTAGGCTAGTTTGAACGATACTTAGCCCAGATTTCATTTGCAGCCATATAAGCCTCGAGTTTCATCATTCATGTACATTCACTTTTTCACTAAAAATACTTCATGCAAGAAAACTGAAGCTTTCTAGAGGTTTATGTTATTAAAATACCGCATTACGAATGCAAATATTACGACTGTAAAAATGCCTTGTTGACGCTGATTCTGAATTTGATCTATACTTTGGTCTATTCGGCTGTTCGAGATGGAAACCAACACTCAAGCATAGCTATATTAATTAGTATATAGAACTAGTAAAAGATAAACTCCTCATACTAAAGTAATATACAATCTACCAACACCTTTAAAGCAATTACCTTTTAGAATACTAAAATAAACTGAGCAGTTATTATTTAAAGTATTTAATAAAGCAATACTAAAAGGATTAATTCTTCTTAATAAAGCAATACTAAAGGATTAATTTCTTTATGAGAAAATTGCAAAATTGACTGACCTGTTTAAGAGTCAGTTCAACAACGGTGGCATTGTGCAGTTTCGCACATCGTGGGTGCCAAATTTACAACAACGATGTTCAAGATCGAATTTACCGAACTATGCATATTCTTCGACAAACCAAGCAAAAATTATGTGTCAATTCGGATGTATATGTAAAAATGTGCACTTTTGAAACCATGACTGTCGAAAACGAATCTAGCAATGAGCAAGACCAAATTCGCCGAACAGTGTAAACTATTACCCACAGATTACTGTCTAACGAGGGAGAATATTTAACTGACCCGTCGCGATGAAACTCGCGAAATCTCATATAAATTTCTTTTCCGTCTAATTGCATTGCTAGAATGTCACTTTCCCACTTCATCATATAAACATCAGCTAGCACTTGAGTCACTGCTGACCCCATCGCACCACCTTTAATTTGTTTGTAATATTTTTTTGCCTAATGCGGAAAATGCACTGTGAGTATGAAACGTAACAATCTAGCAATGGTGTCGATCGAAATACCGTCTATTTTGTAACTTTTTGTCTTTGAAAGAAGTCGACAAACTGCGGAAATGGACTGTTTTGAGGAAGTGTATAAGTCAGTAATGTCAAAGGTGAACTGTCGGGTCGTCGGGGAATAGTGTAGCTATCAAGGTGGTCTAAGAACTGTACAGAGTTTTCTAAGGTATAGTGTGCCGTAGCTTTATTAAAGAGAGAACATAGTTTCAGGTCAAGAAAGCTTGAAAAGCTTGGCTTTTCTTTCTTATTGTTGTAGGTGACATTTATGGCTGCTCTACAACTCTTACAAACACATCATCAACAACAACAACAACAAAATACACCAAATAGTGCCATTTATCAGCATAATAATGAAGAACCACTTACACTTACAAAAATTAGTAAATCAACAAGGTATCTAATAAACATTTTGATTTTAAACTTTAACTTATAAAGACATTTAAGTGAAGTGATAATTATGTTCAATTTTCTTTTTTTAAGTATTTCCAAGGAAAATTCGAATAATGACATCACACAATTCATCACACAATTAAGGAAGATAATAACAGCAGTGAAAATGAAAAATCAGACGCTGATGAGCTAACAATCGCTTCAACATTGGCAGCATTACCAGATCGAAACAGTATATTTAAAATAACTATAGAATAATTAGACTGTAACTCTCATTTTCATTATTTAAGATCAAACAATTGGAACAACAGTGGATGGAATTAATTTAGATGAAATGAAAGAATTTGCAAAACAATTCAAATTACGTCGACTCGCATTAGGTCTTACGCAAACACAAGTCGGTCTAGCTCTTAGTGCTCAGCGAGGTCCCTCCTATTCTCAATCAGCAATATGCAGGTAATTATATCATCAATACTAATCGCAATATCTCATTTTAACTTTACTTATTTATTTAATATAGATTTGAAAAGCTTGATATCACGCCGAAGAGCGCAACAAAGATCAATCCGGTTCTCGAACAATGGATGCCTGATGCAGAAGTTAAATTTAGAGACAGGTATAATAACATTTCATTATTATGTAAAGATACGGAGATTTCTGATGATGTTTTAAGGTTGAAAAATGGTCCTACTAATTGCATGAATTAATGACTGATTTGAATGCAAAAAACGCAAACGACGAACATCGTTTACTCCACAGGCAATAGAAATTCTAAATGACGCTTTTGAAATCAATACACATCCATCAGGTATTCACAGTTAAAATATTTTGTTCGTTATATATTGTTGAGTTTATTGTTGTACTATAGGTGTGGAGATGACAGCGTTAAGTTCCCGTTTAAATTACGATCGTGAAGTGATTCGAGTATGGTAAGAAAAATTTCTAAGAATTTTGGATAACATAGATAAGGAGTTTTACGAAAATTGGGGTTTTCAGGCTATTTTCACTTAATATTTAAAAATTCACTGTTCGCTCAAAATACATCAGAACGAGTTCAAAACTTCAGGATATGGTCAATTCTGTCCGCTAAACGTGATTATAAGATCGAAAAATCGAAAAAGCATATTTTTGTTAATGGGTTTTCCAGAAAACCTTTCAGTCCTGTAAAATCTCTTTCTAGATATCCTGTGAATAGGATATAGAACAGCCTAAATACTTTACATTCTGAAGTTTTGAACTCGTTCTGATGTATTTTGAGCGAACAGTGAATTTTTAAATATT